CTATCTATCTATCTATCTATCTATATCTATCTATCTATCTATCTATCTATCTATCTATCTATCTATCTATCTATCTATCTATCTATCTATCTATCTATCTATCTATCTATCTATCTATATCTATCTATCTATCTATCTATCTATCTATCTATCTATCTATCTATCTATCTATCTATCTATCTATCTATCTATCTATCTATCTATCTCTATCTATCTATCTATCTATCTATCTATCTCTATTATCTATCTATCTATCTATCTATCTATCTATCTATCTATCTATCTATCTATCTATATATCTATCTCTATCTATCTATCTATCTATCTATCTATCGTTATCTATCTATCTATCTATCTATCTATCTATCTATCATCTATCTATCTATTATCTATCTTCTATCTATCTATCTATCCTATCTATCTATCTATCTATCTATCTATCTATCTATCTATCTATCCTTCTATCTATCTATCTATGGACAATCTGTCATCGCTATCCATCATCTAAATATCTATTTTTTTTTCAGTCTATCTATTTCTCTCTATCTATCTGTCTAGTTTTCTCTCTCTCTCTCCCATTATTGGAGGTTTTGTACATTCCACCTGCCATCAATCATCCCGAAGTGAAATGCAATTATTTGACCAATCCAATCACAGCGTGCCGCGAGTTGCAGCCACTTGTACAGATCTGCGGGGAGCCGACCCGTGTGCTAACTCTATTTAAATAGAATTCTATTCTTTTCCCGTTAATACATTAGTGTCTGTGCTGGTACTTGGGCGCCTGGTGCACATGTTTAGAAAACCCAGCGAGAGATTCACATTCATGGAAGTGCTGACGCTCTGCGAGATTTAAATCTGCTTTCCGCATTTATTGGTCGTCTGCTGCTTGTTGGCAAACATTTAGCACCAGCTGTATATCCTGACAGAATGTTTATACAGTAATATTCCAGCCTGGAATGTATGCAGAGGGAGAAAAGTCACATTTTAACATTTTGGAGATTTTTTGTGTTGTCTCACCGGATTTGTGAACCCCGGGGGCATGTAGTCAAATCTACGAAGAATAATTGAGATTTGTTTTCTTGCTAGAACCTAAAGATACTCATATATGCATGTTTACATAATATATTTTTTATATTTCTAGGATCTTCCCCATGTCAACACTGATGGGGTTGGGAGCCGCTCCTCGAAATCCCAGGCCCCCTTCACAATAGCTTAAATCCCTTCTACAGGCTTTCTTTCTTTCTGTCCTGAGACCTCCAGATGGAAGATTTTGCTTTCAAAAGATCAGCTTCCTTTTTTACCCACGCATGTCTCTCCCATTGTGAACATGTTGTCCCTGAAGTTAATGTATTGAAAGCAGAAAAAAATGGGCAAGTGTAAGGATTTGAGTGACTTTGACAAGAGCCAAACTGTAATGGCCAGACCAGGGGTCTCCTAAATTATCCAAGTAAAGGGCTGATTTACTGTCCTTCAGACTTTGAGGGGGCCAGACTTTAGCCAGTGAAAGCATAAAAAATGCCCTGGGAATAAACAATGCCTCATCATTGGTATCAGTGGGAGGAATAGTGTCCCATCATTGGTATCAAGGAATGTGCCTCATCATTGGTATCAGTGGGAGGAATAGTGTCCCATCATTGGTGTCAGTGGGAGGAATAGTGCCCCATCATTGGTGTCAGTGGGAGGAATAGTGCCCATCATTGGTATCAGGGGGAGGAATAGTGCCCGTCATTGGTGTCAGGGGGAGGAATAGTGCCCCGTCATTGGTGTCAGTGGGAGGAATAGTGCCCCGTCATTGGTGTCAGGGGGAGGAATAGTGCCCCATCATTGGTGTCAGGGGGGAGGAATAGTGCCCCATCATTGGTGTCAGGGGGAGGAATAGTGCCCCGTCATTGGTGTATCAGTGGGAGGAATAGTGCCCCATCATTGGTGTCAGTGGAGGGAATAGTGCCCCATCATTGGTGTCAGTGGGAGGAATAGTGCCCCATCATTGGTGTCAGTGGGAGGAAAAGTGCCCCATCATTGGTATCAGTGGGAGGAATAGTGTCCAATCATTGGTATCAGTGGAAGGAATAGTGCCCCATCATTGGTGTCAGGGGGAGGAATAGTGCCCCATCATTGGTGTCAGTGGGAGGAATAGTGCCCCATCATTGGTGTCAGGGGGAGGAATAGTGCCCCATCATTGGTGTCAGGGGAGGAATAGTGCCCCATCATTGGTGTCAGTGGGAGGAATAGTGCCCCATCATTGGTGTCAGTCGGAGGAATAGTGTCCCCCATCATTGGTATCAGTGGGAGGAATAGTGCCCCATCATTGGTGTCAGTGGAGGAATAGTGTCCCCATCATTGGTATCAGTGGGAGGAATAGTGCCCCATCATTGGTATCAGTGGGAGGAATAGTGCCCCATCATTGGTATCAGGAAAAGGAATAGTGCCCCATCATTGGTGTCAGTGGGAGGAATAGTGCCCCATCATTGGTGTCAGTGGGAGGAATAGTGCCCCATCATTGGTGTCAGGGGGAGGAATAGTGCCCCATCATTGGTGTCAGTGGGAGGAATAGTGCCCCATCATTGGTGTCAGGGGAGGAATAGTGCCCCATCATTGTTGTCAGTGGGAGGAATAGTGCCCCGTCATTGGTGTCAGTGGGAGGAATAGTGCCCCATCATTGGTGTCAGTGGGAGGAATAGTGTGCCCCGTCATTGGTGTCAGTGGGAGGAATAGTGTCCCATCATTGGTGTCAGTGGGAGGAATAGTGCCCCATCATTGGTGTCAGTGGGAGGAATAGTGCCCCATCATTGGTGTCAGTGGGAGGAATAGTGCCCCATCATTGGTATCAGTGGGAGGAATAGTGCCCCATCATTGGTATCAGTGGGAGGAATAGTGCCCCATCATTGGTATTAAGTGGGAGGAATAGTGCCCCATCATTGGTGTCAGTGGGAGGAATAGTGTCCCATCATTGGTATCAGTGGGAGGAATAGTGCCCCATCATTGGTATCAGTGGGAGGAATAGTGTCCCATTGTTGGCCAGTGGAGGAATAGTGCCCATCATTGTATCAGGGGAGGAATAGTGTCCCCATCATTGGTATCCCCAGTGGGAGAGTGGGAGGAATAGTACCCCATCGTTGGTATAGGGGTAAGGAATAATATCCCATCATTGGCATCTGTGGGAGGAATAGTGCCCTATTGCTGGTGTCAGTGGTAGGAATAGTGCTCCATTGTTGGTGTCAGTGAGGAAAATAATGCCTTGTATGTCTGGCAGGAATAGTAACTCGTGGGCCAGATAAAGGCAAGCAAAAAGCAGCATCTAGCCTCCAGGCCACAGTTTGGAGCAGCTCTAAAACTGCAGCTCTTGTGGGATGTTCCCAGTCTGCAGTGGTCAGGACCAACTTAAAATGGTCCAAGGAAGGGAAACCAGCGACAAGGTCATGGATGGCCACGGTTCTCTAATGCACGTAGGTAGTGAAGGCTGGCCGGTGTAGTCCGCTCAAATAGAAGACTACTGGCGCTCAAATTACTGAAAAAGTCAATGCTGGTTGCAATAGAAAGGTGTCAGAGCATCGCAATTTGTTGAGTATGGGGCTGTGTAGCCACAGACTGATCTGGGTCCACAGCCAAAAGTGCCTACAATGGGCAAGTGAGCATCAGAACTCGATCACGGAGCAATGGAAGAAGGTGGCCTGGCCAAGAGTGCTTTGAGGAACACAACACCCCACCTCGCAACTTACAGGACTTAACGGATCTGCTCCTGCTGGCTTGGTGCCAGATACCACAGCATACCTTCACGGGTCTAGTGGAGTCCATACCTCCATGGTTTATAGTCGGTGTGCTATTCACATGTAGCACCCCCAGACCCTCAAATCATGGGAAGTACCTCACAGACAGAGTGGGCAGTAATTCTCAGGATGTAGTCGTCAGCAATAGTGGGACAATGTGTACAGATGGGCACCAGACACTTTTAGAGGCAATAATACGGGTTTATTGAACCTCACTCAATACTCCCGGACTATCAAATTTCAGATTAAAGCGTTACTAAACCCACAACAGTACAATCAGTCTGTAGATGCAGGAAAGCGTGCTTGTTATACTCACTGTGGAACCTAAGGGGTTAATCCTCTGCATTGTGTAAAAAAGGCTGTTTGATCCTTTCTTCTCTGTTCCTCCCCTTTTTCAAGTGACCACCACGTATCTCCAGACTGAATCATAGGCATGCACATACTCAGTTTGGTGTATATTACTAGAGAGGTTTTTTTTTTTCATGGGAGAGTGCATGTGATCAGCACAGGGCCAATCAGCACTGTCCAGACAGAAAGAAAACTGCTCCTACAAGCTTTTGCTAGTGCTTGGCTGGACACTGATAGAAGTCACAAGACTGCTATATACTGCTGATGAGAAAAGGTATTTAGCAGTTTATATTTACTAAAATAATTGCATTTCCATGTTCTGTGTACTGTGGGAGACCAGATATAGTAAATGCAGGGTCCAGGGAGAGCGGATATAGTGAATGCAGGGTCCAGGGAGAGGGGATATAGTGAATGCAGGGTCCGGGGAGAGCGGATATAGTGAATGCGGGGTTCGGGGAGACCGGATATAGTGAATGCAGGGTCCGATGAGACCAGATATAGTGAATGCAGGGTCCGGGGAGAGCTGATATAGTGAATGCGGGGTCCGGGGAGAGCGGATATAGTGAATGCAGGGTCCGGGGAGAGCAGATATAGTGAATGCAGGGCCTGGGGAGAGCAGATATAGTGAATGCGGGGTCCGATGAGACCGGATATAGTGAATGCGGGGTCCGGGGAGACCGGATATAGTGAATGCAGGGTCCAGGGAGAGCGGATATAGTGAATGCGGGGTCCGGGGAGAGCGGATATAGTGAATATAGGGTCCGGGGAGAGCGGATATAGTGAATGCAGGGTCCGGGGAGAGCGGATATAGTGAATGCACGATCCGGGGGAGAGCGGATATAGTGAATGCAGGGTCCGGGGAGAGCGGATATAGTGAATGCAGGGAGACCGTTATAGTGAATGCAGGGTCCGGGGAGAGTGAATATAGTGAATGCAGGATCCGGGGAGACTAGATATAGTGAATGCAGGGTTCGGCAAGAGGGGATATATAATGGATGCAAGGTCTGGGGAGAGCGGATATAGTGAATGCAGGATCTTTGGAGACCGGATATAGTGAATGCAGGGTCCGGGGAGAGCGGATATAGTGAATACAGGGTCCTGGAAAACCAGATATAGTGAATGCAGGGTCTGGGGTGACCGGATATAGTGAATGCAGGGTCTGGGGTGACCGGATATAGGGAATGCGGGGGGGGGTGACCGGATATAGTGAATGCAGGGTCTGGGGAGACTAGATATAGTTAATGCAGGATCTTTGGAGACTGGATATAGTGAATGCAGGGTCTGGGGAAATCGGATATAGTGAATGCAGGGTCCGGGGAGTTCGGATATAGTGAATGCAGGGTCTGGTGTGACCGGATATAGTGAATGCAGGGTCCGGGGAGACCAGATATAGTGAATGCAGGGTCTGGGGAGACCAGATATAGTGAATGCAGGATCTTTGGATACCGGATATAGTGAATGCAGGATCCAGGGAGACCGGATATAGTGAATGCAGGGTCCGGGGAGACCGGATATAGTGAATGCAGGGTCCGGGGAGAGTGGATATAGTGAATGCAGGGTCCGGGGAGAGTGGATATAATGAATGCAGGGTCCGGGGAGAGTGGATATAGTGAATGCAGGGTCCGGGGAGAGTGGATATAGTGAATGCAGGGTCCGGGGAGACCAGATATAGTGAATGCAGGGTCCGGGGAGACCAGATATAGTGAATGCAGGGTCCTGTGTTTAGTAACATTTAAAGGTGAAAAAAATGGTACTTGCTGCCTTCACAGAAGGGGGACCTTGAAGCCACTATGGCACCCTGTGAGTTCAGGTTTAGCCTGCTGAGTACAATATGGTGCAATATTTCAGATTTTCTGAGGTTCATTACTATTGCGATTCGGAAATTGGAACACATCCTTCGTACTTTTGAAATCTCGCCCTGTTTTTGATTAACGCATCTTCAGTCTTCACACTTCAGTTCTCACTCCTTCCTCCTTCTCTCCTATCAGTGAATCCTGAGAGTTAGCTGTTGGATGGATATGTTACCTATCTATGCAGGTTTCTTACATTTTCCTAGTGAGTGCATCTACACCTAATTTATATTAGCTTTACTGTCCTCTACTTCTTAGTGCTGCCACCATGGGTCCACCATTGCTACACCACCACCAGAATTCTAAACATGGGGGGGGAACTAAGAAGACCTTGTATTAGTCTGCTTTTCTTTTCTGAACCCAGCATTAGAGGTATCATTGGCTTTATCTGCTCCTTTAACAGTGCCTCAAGGGGAACCATTTCACCTACAGAAGGTGATGGTAGAGATGCCTTAATTATCCTCCCATCTGACTCTCCACATTTTAAAGGGTTGAAATGATTTAGTCAAATGAGAAAAATTTCCGTAAGTCATAATTTTCCAAACTCAAAGGCAAGTCTAAAGGCCACTTTCACCAGTGTTCTCTTTGAGATTTAGAGCCTTGCTCAGTTGCAGTAAGACCCAAAGATATCTTCTGCTGGGCTTGTGCTTCCCCTGTTATCACCAGCAAAGCCTGTTTTTATGACATTTTGAAGGAAGGCAGACAAAGGATCAGCAGCAGTAAGACATCTACTAAAGAAGCAGTAGCCGAAAGCACCAGCCGGTTTCAGTCTCGGACTCGCTCTTCTTTTTCTACTTTTGCTTCTGCATCATCTCCCATGGCTTTTAACTCAAGGAAGTTATCTACAAGAGATGATTTTTTAAAAAAGAATCAGATGAAAAGGGGGAGTTGGAAAAAATGTCTGCAAGTCTTTGTTTTTTTCTATAGTTTCCCCTTTTATACGAGCCGTTAGGAGGATGAAGTATAGCAACCCCAAAATTAACAGAAATATTTTCCAAGCTTGAAGCCCACTCATCTTCAATCTTTTATTTCCCTTTCATTCTGCAAGTAAAAGAAATAACTGAGGATGAATGTGCAAGATCTGATAAAAGATTTTCTTGTCAAACTAGGTTTTTGAAGCTGTGCCCCAAATTTTCCTTGGAGGCCGAGTTTAAAGGGACACCACCAAACTTACCTTTAGACAATATTATGACTTTTTCAGATGTGATGGAACATATAGCAGACAGAGATCTTTAAAAATGTATTACTCAGGGCTTTATTTTTAGGTGGAACTCAGTTCTACCACCTCTGGCTCAGGCCCTCTACTCACATTTTCCTTACAGGCCAAGTTTAAAGGGACACCACCAAACTTACCTTTAGACAATACTATGACTTTTTCAGATGTGATGGAGCATATAGCAGACAGAGAGATCTTTAAAAATGTATTACTCAGGGATTTTTTTTTGGTGGAACTCAGTTCTACCACTTCTGGCTCAGGCCCTCTACTCAAATTTTCCTTGGAGGGTGAGTTTAAAGGGACACCACCAAACTTACCTTTAGACAATACTATAACCTTTTCAGATGTGATGGAGCATATAGCAGACAAAAATCTTTAAAAATGTATTACTCAGGGTTTTTTTTAGGTGGAACTCAGTTGTACCACCTCTGGCTCAGGCCCTCTACTCAAATTTTCCTTGGAGGCTGAGTTTAAAGGGACACCACCAAACTGACCTTTAGACAATACTATGACTTTTTCAGATGTGATGGAGCATATAGCAGACAGAGATCTTAAAAAATTTATTACTCAGGGCTTTTTGTTTAGGTGAAACTCAGTTCTACCACCTCTGGCTCAGGCCCTCTACTCAAATTTTCCTTGGAGGCCGAGTTTAAAGGGACACCAACAAACTTACCTTTAGACAATACTATGACTTTTTCAGATGTGATGGAGCATATAGCAGACAGAGATCTTTAAAAATGTATTACTCAGGGATTTTTTTTTGGTGGAACTCAGTTCTACCACTTCTGGCTCAGGCCCTCTACTCAAATTTTCCTTGGAGGGTGAGTTTAAAGGGACACCACCAAACTTACCTTTAGACAATACTATAACCTTTTCAGATATGATGGAGCATATAGCAGACAAAAAATCTTTAAAAATGTATTACTCAGGGTTTTTTTTTTTAGGTGGAACTCAGTTGTACCACCTCTGGCTCAGGCCCTCTACTCAAATTTTCCTTGGAGGCTGAGTTTAAAGGGACACCACCAAACTGACCTTTAGACAATACTATGACTTTTTCAGATGTGATGGAGCATATAGCAGACAGAGATCTTAAAAAATTTATTACTCAGGGCTTTTTGTTTAGGTGAAACTCAGTTCTACCACCTCTGGCTCAGGCCCTCTACTCAAATTTTCCTTGGAGGCCGAGTTTAAAGGGACACCAACAAACTTACCTTTAGACAATACTATGACTTTTTCAGATGTGATGGAGCATATAGCAGACAGAGATCTTTAAAAATGTATTACTCAGGGATTTTTTTTTGGTGGAACTCAGTTCTACCACTTCTGGCTCAGGCCCTCTACTCAAATTTTCCTTGGAGGGTGAGTTTAAAGGGACACCACCAAACCTACCTTTAGACAATACTATAACCTTTTCAGATGTGATGGAGCATATAGCAGACAAAAATCTTTAAAAATGTATTACTCAGGGGTTTTTTTTTTTTAGGTGGAACTCAGTTGTACCACCTCTGGCTCAGGCCCTCTACTCAAATTTTCCTTGGAGGCTGAGTTTAAAGGGACACCACCAAACTGACCTTTAGACAATACTATGACTTTTTCAGATGTGATGGAGCATATAGCAGACAGAGATCTTAAAAAATGTATTACTCAGGGCTTTTTGTTTAGGTGAAACTTAGTTCTACCACCTCTGGCTCAGGCCCTCTACTCAAATTTTCCTTGGAGGCCGAGTTTAAAGGGACACCAACAAACTTACCTTTAGACAATACTATGACTTTTTCAGATGTGATGGAGCATATAGCAGACAGAGATCTTTAAAAATGTATTACTCAGGGATTTTTTTTTGGTGGAACTCAGTTCTACCACTTGGGCTCAGGCCCTCTACTCAAATTTTCCTTGGAGGGTGAGTTTAAAGGGACACCACCAAACCTACCTTTAGACAATACTATAACCTTTTTCAGATGTGATGGAGCATATAGCAGAGACAAAAATCTTTAAAAATGTATTACTCAGGGTTTTTTTTAGGTGGAACTCAGTTGTACCACCTCTGGCTCAGGCCCTCTACTCAAATTTTCCTTGGAGGCTGAGTTTAAAGGGACACCACCAAACTGACCTTTAGACAATACTATGACTTTTTCAGATGTGATGGAGCATATAGCAGACAGAGATCTTAAAAAATTTATTACTCAGGGCTTTTTGTTTAGGTGAAACTCAGTTCTACCACCTCTGGCTCAGGCCCTCTACTCAAATTTTCCTTGGAGGCCGAGTTTAAAGGGACACCAACAAACCTACTTTTAGACAATACTATGACTTTTTAAGATGTGATGGAGCATATAGCAGACAGAAATCTTTAAAAATGTATTACTCAGGGCTTCTTTTTTAGGTGGAACTCAGTTCTACCACCTCTGGCTCATGCCCTCTACTCCCTGTCCACCACTATCACTTTAGCGTGTTTACAAGTGACAGCTGGTCACCCAACAGTTCCCACAGATATGATCTCCTGAGCTGCTCCTACTGAGTGCAGGATTGGGTCAAGGGAGATGCAGGTGCCTGGGGTGCAGTGTGGATGCTGACACCCCCGCTGGATGATCTCCCTGCAAATGAGAAAGGTGGCGCCACCTAAAGTGTGTGGGGAGGTTCTAGAGCCGGCTGGGTGCTTCAGCTTACCACAGCAACAAAAGTAAGACATGTGGAAGATGGTGAAGCTTTTAAGACGAGAGGGAGAAGAGGGTGGCGGTGGAAGGGGGGAGGGGGGTTGAACGCAGAGATCGGAGCTAAAGAGGGGTGAAAGTGGGATGTGGATGAAGGATGCAGAGGTAAGCAGATCTGGTAGAAGGCTGGGCCCAGCATTCTGTGGGTAGCGCACCCCTAAACTCGGCACTCTGTATGCAATGCATTCCCAAGCTCTGCATTCTGTGTGCAAACCCTCCCCCCAAACTCTGCACTCTGTATGGAATGCACTCCTGGTATTTAATGCCCCTTTAACCACTTTAATACCGGGCACTTATACCCCCTTCCTGCCCAGGCCAATTTTCAGCTTTCAGCGCTGTTGCACTTTGAATGACAATTGCGCGGTCAAGCAACACTGCACCCATATGAAATTTTTATAATTTTTTTTCACACAAATAGAGTTTTCTTTTGGTGGTATTTAATCACCACTGAGTTTTTTATTTTTTTGCTAAATAAAACAAAACACATTGTAACTTTTGAAAAAAAAAAAACATAATTTTCTTCGTTTCTGTTTTAAAATTTTGCAAATAAATAACATTTCTTCATAAATTTAGGTCAAAATGTTTTCTGCTACATTTCTTTAGTGAAAATAGTAATAATAATTGAATTTGTATTTTTTTTTCAAATGTTTTAATTTTTTTTTTTTTTTATTACATTTTTTATTTTTTTTACTATTTTATTTTTCAGCACACTATGACCAAAGCAATAAAATGTTACCATAGTAGCAAGGAACTACTCTGGGCAGGTGATCAGAATTGTTTTTTTCTGTTAACACATTAT